AGGGAAAAAATTTAACCCAATACTGGATTTCAAGAAAGGAAATTCTTGTCTATGGAGGCCGATGACTGGGCTGTCAGTCCCAACTCAGGTCTGTCATGCCAAGGCATGAAAGCGGGTTGGACCAGGCCAACTTTCTGATAGCTGCATATTTATTGGCCTGGCCAGGCCATCAAGCCTAGCCAAATTAGCCTCTTTTCTTTTTCTTTTTTTTTGTCTAGATTTATACAAATTTTATAAAGTAAAAATTGTATATATATATATATATCAGGCCAAAATAGGTGGTCAGCTCAACATTTGGTAGCCCTAGCCTGACCCAATCAGCCTGATAATTATGGGCCTAACTTTCATGAGCCCAGCCCAATCTTGTTTATGAGCTGTTCAGGCAGGCCCATCAAGTTGGGCTCAATTAGTTACCTCTAATTCTTGATAGGGAAGATTACTAAATACTAACTAGCCTAATAGAAGATTGCACTATTGTAAGGGCTAATTCAATCAATCTGTTCTTATTCACAACTCTATTTGAACTATAATTTCAATATAAACTTTGGATTATGATATTTTAAAAGTGGGCCCTGAAAACATGATCTCATTGTTCTGTTCTTAAAAGGGAAAAGTTCCAAACTAGGCACGGTAAATAATTCAGTATGTTTTCAATTTACCAACATGACCGTTAAACTTGAGAATATAAAAATAGTTTGATAAATAAGGGAGGGAAACACGTTATTGATTTGTTTACTAGAAAGTGTTGAGGACCTGCACGGGAGTATTAATAGCAGCTCGCTCAATGTGACCTTTCTGATATTTGTTAGCTTGGGCCATCAAAGGGAACCGTCGTGCTCGCCCTAGCAATGTGTGAACACAATGGAACTCATGAGCTTCCTTTTTACGCTCCTCTTGCCATTGCAAAACCTCTTTTCTATCATTGTACCAAAGGTCAACAGTTTTCTTAGCTTCTTTCACAGAAACCTGAGAATGGACAATCAAATAATAAATCCTGGGCACTTGTTAACTGTAAACCGCTCATGATAAGTAATAGAGTTCAAAGTACCTTCCAATCCTTGGAAAGCCCCACAGGAGTCTTCCCATAAGCAATTGAGAAGTTAAGCATTTTAGCTTTTCTTCTTTCAGAACCAAAGGCATCCTGAAATGCAAGGGAAACAAGAACAGAAAAATGACTAAATTATGAAACAAAAATAGTGGGATAAGGCTTTGTTGTTTGGTGTATTCTGGTTTACTTCTATTACTATACATAAACATGCAATCCTCCTAGTAACACTGCAACATGCAATGCTTTCCCCCTAGACAGAGTATTCTAATGTGCAGCAGCTGTCCTTTATTTCTATTGGAATCTTCATAAGTTACGAGTCTTTCTATTTTTTTAATAAAGTATATTTATTGTATTTCCAGTTGATGGAACTGTGCCCAATCAGAACAAGGATTAGTCCTCCCTCATGCATTGTCAACACTCTGGTGCTTACTATATTTGATGTCATCAGCTACAGGAAATACAAAACTAAAGACAAAGCCATTACTTGCACATCTCAATGCAATGGTATTTGCTACTATCAGCAGACAATTTACCTTCAATAGAGGAACTGGGGGTTTATCTTCACCAGGCTGTTTATGCCACTCAAGAAGCACTTGCTTTTTCTCAACTGCTTCACGAATATATGGATACATATTCATTGCAGTCCTTGAATGGAAATCTCCACCAGCTTTAAAAGCTTCCAACATGCTCTTACAGTCTGCAAGGTGTGCCAGAATCCTAAGTTCCAGCTGTAACAATACACAAGGCAGTTAACAGAATGAAATTTCTTGAAAATATCTCAGTTAGATAGACAATATATATTATTAACCTGTCCATAATCGGCAACTATAAGAGAATTCCCAGGTGCAGCAATGAATGCTTGACGGATTTTGTATCGGTCTTTTTCCAAAGCAGGTTGATTCTAATTCATGAATTGTACTAGTCAGATTCTTTATCCTTTTGCTGATTAGAAAAAAAAAGATTCTATATCCTTTTGAAAGACAATGATTAATATAGTACATATAATACCAATATGCCAATATGAGAATGATAAAATAAAAATTGAAAATGACTGAGATGCACTGTGCAGTCTAAATTTAGGATCCAAATAATTGTAATAATTCACAGAGAAGGTATCAAGATCAAGTAGACATCAAATGATTAAATGTGTATATGAAGGCTGTGATTAGTCCAAAAAAACATATTTTAATCATATTTTAAGATATTTTTAACTAAAGGAATAGAGTACATTTAGAAAAGATGTAAGAACTGACTCTTGAGCTTGAGATAGTTGATAGACGGTCACCTACAGAAGAGTTTTATATTTTTAAAATGCTACCTCATCCAAGATCAATTTGAGTATGAACTGTGGACGATCCAAAGATCTATTTCACCTTATGCTGATTTTTTTTTTGTTCAACCTTACTTCCAAAATTTAATTATGAAAGATATCAGCAGAAAGGATGAATGAGACACTTTAAAAATACTCTTTAGAACACATTCTTTCCTATTAGCTAAAATTTATTGAAAACAACTAAATCATGAATGAGACTCATTAAATAAAAAGTGAGACCTACACAATTTTATGATTTCCAACAAATTTCAGGCAATAGTTGAAAGAATGCTAGAAGAAGTGTATTAGAGAGTGTTAATAGCATTTCTCGTATATCTAATAGGAAGAGATTCCACTAAAAAGAGAAACTAAAGCTTAGGTCAAAAGACAAAATGATAAAGCCACCTACTAAGAATTTAGCATCAAGGAAACTGTATGACACCAATTATTAAACATACAAGCACACAAATGAAAGTTAAAGGTCAAATGTATGGTACTTAAAAATTTCAAGTTCACAACATCTACCATTAAAATGAAAATTCCAAATCAAAATCATTAGAGAATTTTAATAAATCTAGAATATCAGAATAACCTGCAGATTTGGCCTTCTTGCTGACAAGCGTCCTGTCTCTGTGTTGATATTTAAGGAACAATGAACACGTAGATCTTTTCCTGATATATTATGCCCCTGATAAAGAGAACTACGAATTTAATGGAGCAGATATAAAGATCTTCAGTTTAAAAATACAGACATATTACTGAAAGTTCTAAAATATAAGTGGTGGCACAGGAAGCATACAAAAAATTAGCTTAAAGTCAGATAAGGAAATAATTTCTCTAGCCATAGCCAAGCAGTGGGAGAGCTAAATATTGACCATCTCCATTCTCCAGTGAGTATTTTAAAAGTTTAAGGGAGGTACTAAATTAGACTTGTGAGTTTGTTGCCCAGGTGAATTATCAAGCGTCTCATTGGCTAATGTTTTTATAATAGTTGTATAAAACAACGCTCTTTAGAAAAGAAAAGAATATATCATTAATTTATTATGGACAATATGTATCACATGGAAGTTTGTTGTGCTAGTCCCAAAATAAAAGATATTTCAACTTCAAGCAAGCCCAATAAAGCTCAAATTGCAAACAAAACAACAAAAAAGTACCTGCAGGGGAAGGATGAAGTTAGAAATCAAAGAGTTGATTGAACAGACTTGACATAAAGCAGCAATTGCATGGCAAGCTTCTCTTCCTTCTTCCTCTGTTGGAAAAGCTGTAAAGGCTGTTCCATATGCAGATTTATCAATTGTTACAGGTGCAACTTGACTTTGAGAAGGTATTCCATCTTCATCATCAAGATCCAAGTTACAAGTCTCATCAAAAAAGTCATACTCAGCAGAAATTTTTCCAGCCAGAGCTTTTAAAGCATCACCACTAACTGACGGCCAACCAGATGCTGTGTACATCTCAGTCTCCAGGTTATAACCTAGGGTTGTCAACTTTATATCACGAAACTTTTTTGGAGCCTTCTTGCCATCTTCAATCACATTATCAACATTGGGAATTTTGAATATTCGTTCAGTTGGAAGTGCCAGAGTGGAGTCCTTTCTGTAATAATGAATGTGACAAGTGAAAATGAAAGCTTTACTTCCCCCTATATCCTTCGGCTACCTTTTTGTAAAGTTCATAAAATATCAAGTTATGTCCTACCGATTGTAAATTTATTAAACTTGTGAATATCATAGATATTTCAGGGTTTCACTAGCAAACCATCAATATATTAAGATATAAATAAATGTCATACATAAGATTTAAAAATGTGCACCTGTTCACAGTGCCACCAAAAAGCAGCTGGCGCAACTGCAAATCACTTCCTACATTCATATACTGGGCATCAGGACAATACCTACTTGCCCATTTCCGGAATCTAATAGCAGCTATCTCTTGCTCTGCTTTGGCCACCTTTTCTATGCTTTCAAGATAAGCCCGATCAACTAGCATTCCCTCGGATTCCATCGTGACTAGAAGCTCACCAAATGGTCGCCAATATTCATTGTAGAAATCATACATGGTTCTCCCAGAAACTGGCACACCATCAAATTTCCAGGGCATATCTGAAAGATAGCTCTTTAGGCTCTCATACAGCTTCAAAGTGCTTCTAGCATCTAAGGCAGAATAACATATCCAAGGTATACGCTCATCTCTCTGTAGCTCTTCAACAGGGGCAATGGTAGTTGTTTTACCCTCAGATCCATCTTTTTTCACCTTTTTCTTACTAAATATTGTTTTCATTGACAGCTTACCAATCAAATCCTTTTCATGGTTCAGCTGAGCTCTAGACATGACCCTTCTGTCACCTGTAAGTCCTTCAAGAGAATAACCCCCATCCAAATGTCTTGAAGAATCCCATAACCGTGCCATGTGCATTGTGTCAGCATGAAATCCAGAAACTTTGAATCCATAGTTCTCTATAACATGACAGTCAAAGCTATAATTATGCCAGACCTACAGAGTGCAGCAGTGACTAGGTTATTTCAAGAATTATTTGTAATATTTGGTCAAGTGCATAGACAAACCCAGGAATTTAATGCTAATATCATTTAATAAAAGATAGACATATTTTTTTTCTTCCATTTCTGATGGAATAACATCACTGACAAATACTTTACTAATCAGTGACATAGTTATTCAGATCTCTTGCCTGTTTATATGTTACTACAAGATAAGAATGTCTATTGATTACACAAATAAAATAAAATAACAAATAATGCTAGTTCACTCCTTTCATAAGATGCAAACTTCTCTGTTCTATACAAGAAAATCATGCAACAACTATCCTAAATCAGGTACACATTAACTTCACCACTGTGATTGCAAGTTGAAAGTGAAACCTATTCTTAGCATAGCATTACAAAATTGAATATACCACTGAACACACAGCAAAAAACATAATTCAATATGGCTCTCTGTAATATGACACTAATTTTTTAGATTACCCAAGGATAATTACAGACCAGATAGTAGCTGATTGTCACATATCTAAACTATTAAGGTATCAGTCATACAGTAGCAACCATAGAATTAAAATTTGAGACGTGCTGCTGCATATTGAGGTGAGTAATACGATTAAGAACATAGAAGAGAGGGAAGAGGAAAGAAAAGTTCACCTTCTTGATAGAAGAGTCACTAAAAAATTCAGCAAATTTTTCTAAAATCTCTTTGCCTCCACCATCAAGAACATCTACCCAGATACAGGACTTTCCACCTCCAAAATCAGCTTCTGGACTAGAATAAATGCTGAAGCATATTATCTCCCCATGATCTACAGGAGTTTCTTGTTTGACATCTATCTTGGCTACCTTTGAAAACAATAAAATCAGCAGATAATATGTGTTCACCATATATACAAATCAGTTGAATTCATGTCCAAAGTAGTAGTACACAAACAGACACATGTGCAAGGGCGAAAGAAGAGATAATCTAGATATATAAACACTTGTGATAAGGAATAACTATAATACAGGTAAATAAAGTCAAAAGAAGTATACCTCCGTATCACATGCATAAACAAGATGCTGGTATTTTGTTGTGAGCATCTTAGACACTTCCTCCGCAAGAGGAATATTATCAACAACCAGAATATCTTCATAGATACTACAGAGCCTATCCTGAAGCTTTGATTGGTCAGTACTACGTGCCTTTTTAGCAAATGTTGCATTAGTTGAATCCTTTGCAGTTGCATCCAAAACATTATTACCATTGACTACAGTGATTTTCTCTTTACCAGTCCCCAATGAAGATCCATTAAACTGGCGAACCACCGTTTCAGAATCTGTAAACACCTTTGAGTTGTTTAATACAGAATAATTAACAGTAGATGAGATATGCTCACCACGATCCTGCAGTACAACAATACTATCCCCATTCGTAGAAACAACCTGGTTCTGAGCAATGGAAGCAACTCTATTCAATGCAATAGGACTGCCATTTTCCCTCTCAAATTTATTCAAGCCGTTCATTTCCTTTTTATTTTCAGTTAACTTATCTTTTGCTATAGTCCAGCCTCTATAATCACCACCAGACAATTTTATTCCAGCAGTGGTTGCAGAAAATCCATTATTGCAAGCAGTCACACTCACCGTCCTAACTTGAGTTTCGCGTGAATGCAAAGAATTCAGCTCTTCCTCCTCTGTCATTTCCTCCAACATGCCAGTTGATGCATTTGAAATTTTCATACATGAAATGCAAACTGGACTCTTGCATGGAAAATTTCGGTTGTACCTCACGCCATTGTATTTATTTAACCCCAAAGATGTCCCATTTAGACAGCATGAAAAATCCGCTCCAAATTTTACAGAATTTATAGGCACAGTGCTATTATTGTTCCTGAAGCCATTGTTGAAAATTTGGATTGTCTGAATTTTTCTTCTGTAGTTCACACCATGTAAACGAAAACAAAAGCTCCAATCAATGAAATGTGTTACCATTCTATATACTGTGTGTGCTAAAAAAAAAAAATTCCTATCTATCCATTTCCGCATTTACAAACAAAAGTTAATCCCAGGGCAGCAGCCCTAATAAACTAGGTTTTATCATCAACAAATTGTCACAGAAATCACAATACAAGTAAATTTAAATAATCACACTTGACTTGACTAAACATTAATGCCAATCAACCTTTCAAACCAGTGAATAACAACAAGACACAATGAACCATTGAAGTCAAGACCAAAAAAAAAAGTCAGCATGTTTTATTATGCAATACAGAACATCAAACAAGACACAATGAACCATTGAAGTCAAGACCAAAAAAAAAGTCAGCATGTTTTATTATGCAATACAGAACATCAATTTCTTAAAAAAAAAAAAAAAAAAAAAAAGTAAAATACCCAGTTGGAAAAGATGCAAAATTTATGGTTTTCAGGACATGGGCAAGGACAGAAACAAGAAAAAAATGAAGTTTGAAGTGAAAAAGAGAGAAAGGAAGAAGGGTAAAACACCGTTGGGGAGGTAAAATAGAGAAAGAGAAGCAGCGGCGGCATAAGGGGCAGGGTGGCCTCAAAGCAGACACCTCCATTCAGTCACCACTTCTGTTCAACAGATTAGGAAGAGACAACGAATGAATGTAACCATCAAAATAAAAATATAAAATATAAAGAGACATAATATTTGAAAAATTCTGGCCATTAATATAAAATCATAAAAAACGAATATATTTACTTTATAATATTAGTTGCCACGTAATCTTACATGTTTGGAAGGCCTCAATGCCACTCTTAGAATAGAATGTCTCGGGGTTGACAGTGATCGGACTTTTTGATTTATAATTTTTAGATAATAAGTCTTATAAAGATGCCTTATTTTAATTTTTTTTTTTTTACAGTTTAAGTACACTCATTTTTAATCATGTAACTATAAAAAAATATTAAATGAGTTTTATAATTTTTCCTCCATTTTTATGTTCAATCAAATTATTAACATTGAGACAATAAAAATATAACAGTTTTATTTAACTTATTTGTTTATGAAATAGTTTATTGAAAAATATAATAAATTTTCATTAATTAAATATATTAACAAATATGCAAATAAAACATTACATAAACAAAATAGCATCGGAAATAAATAGTTTTAATTTAAATATGTTTTAAGTACTTTAAAATAAACCTCAAGCGTGTGATTCAGCGGTAGGGTTAATCCACCTTTAAGTAAGGTCAGGGGTTTGAATCTTGCCTTGTATAAGCAGTCGCGTTAAATCTTGGGGCCAGCTATTCCACCTTTTGAGGTGCTTCCAATATAACGAGGAGATTAGTTACTGCTATTGGCAGTAGATACTCCAGGAACGAAAAAAAAAATACTTTAAAATATTAATTAATTAATATTACTGATTTTGTTTTAAGAACATATAAAATATTTTTATTTTTATCTTTTTGAAATCTAAAATTATTATTTAATCTTACTTTAAAGTAGATGAATAATATTAATTTAAATTAAAGAATTTGGAGATATTATTTGTTGACACAAGATCATATACACTAATATATATTGTTTATGATAGCCACTTGTCATTTTGTTAAACAAATAGTAATTAATAAGTATCACACAGGTGCTAATTGTGTGTTTGCATTTTCACGTTACAAGATAATCTCAGCTCTTATTAAAGTACTTTTATGTACTTTCTTTGATCGTCTAAAACTCGCTTATAGCCTTAAAAAGGAGAGACTTTAACATTTTATTTCCACAAAATAACAAGACAAAAGAAAATTAAACATCTTGACAATTTGTCATATTATCTCTCTAAATTATCAATTTTCTTGTTTTGAACAATTTATATGTACATATTTGAAAACTTGTTACGCATCTTCAAACAGAAAATCAAGAAGCAACATTTTGTTGCTTTATCGTTGAACGAAATTTTATTTATTTATTTTTTTATGTTGAATTAGTTCTCAAACATGAACTATATATGTAACTAATCGACCCTAAATTCTGGAAACAAAAAAATATTTTTAGAAACAAATCATATCTATTTCTTAAAAAACAAACTGACCCTAAATTCTTAACAGTAACTCTCAACAAATTTAAATAAAAAATATTCTAATTATAACTGATTATAAAAAACAATCTAATTTTTACATGGTCCACAGTCCACACATACTCGCACATGAAAAAAAGAGGGAATATTGTATTGATGAGAGAACTGAATGAGTAGGCAATTATACGAATCTGATAGCAAGCAATCTTGTAATTCCCATATTACCATTTACCAATATCTAAAACTACTAACAAATATGCAATCGTTTTGCTTTTCATAACGATAACAAGTGGCACCATGATGAAGTTTTTATAGAATGATTCTCAAACTTGATTAGTAGCTTCTCTTTTTTGTAATCCTCTACTGTTTCAGATTCATTTTGTCAACTGCATTCTCCGTTCTCATAAAAACTCTCTTTTGTACGATGTTGTGGTTTTCCAACTTGTATATGCTTCATGGCTAAAACTTCAAGAGCTGTAACTACGTCACTAATTAAAGGTCGGATATCAGCTTCATCCTGAATGCACATTGCTGCAACTGCTAGTGCTTGGTGCAGACCCTTTGTTGGATAGTTCCCTTTCAGCAATGGATCAACCATTATTGCAACTTTCCTTCTGTCTCTTAATAGTGGTTGTGCCTGAAAACAACCAACATTATGAATGTCATTTGCTCAACATTTGTGCATACTGGTCTAAACATTAATTTTAATTAAGACTTGTTTTCATATTGATTATATATAAAGTTTGATTGGATAATTTTTTTCCAGAAGTACTTTTAGAAAAAATATATAAAGGAAAATTGAAATAATCTTTTCTATAATATATGTGTAAGCTAATTTGTAGAAGTCTACTTATATTAACTTTTCTAAAATCTTATTTTTACTTTATATATAAACTAGTTTTAACTTTTGAAAGAATTATTTCAATTTTTCTTCTTGTTTTTTTCTTTTCCTTTTAGAAGTGTTTTGGGAGAAATTTATCCAAACAAACCCTACATGGTAAAATGTGTTTTAGATCTTTCAATTTTTGGTAGTGTTGGACTGTTAGTCTCTATACTTTTAAAACAATAATTTTAGTTTTAGAATGCTTTATCGATGAATTTCATCCCTCTTTATGCAACTTAGGATACTAGAAAGAGAATGATATTAATTCACCAATTATAAAAAAATATGAGGATCAAAATCATTGTTTTTAACATATAGGATTTTAGGAGCAATTTTAACAAAAAATTTAAGGAACATAAAATACATTTTACCCTTGATTTGATTATAATCCTGAAGTGCTATGCAGAGAAATGATATGATTTTAATCACATACTAAAAGTTTCATGACATACCCAAGTGACTAAGTTTTGCTCATCAGATGGTCTAGACTGATCAATTGCTCTTCTTCCTGTGATCAACTCGAGAAACACTACTCCAAAGCTGTATATATCTGATTTTGTTGTCAATTGACCTGTTGAGGCATACTCAGGTGCACAGTAGCCATAAGTTCCCATCACCCTGGTGGATACATGAGTTTTGTCACCAGTTGGACCAAGCTTTGCAAGACCAAAATCAGAGAGTTTTGGATTGAAGTTTTCATCCAGTAGTATGTTTGAGGCTTTGAAATCCCGGTATATCACTGGCGGATTCGCAACTTCATGCAAGTATTCAAGTCCTTTAGCTGCACCTGCTGCAATGTTCATTCTAGTACGCCAATCCAAAGGCTTTCTGTCCGGAGGTAGTTCTGAAAATCATTTTTCTTTTTGTTGTTGGTCAGATAACATTTAACTTACATGCTTATAGCCAAAAAAAATACTAGAGTAATGTTTTGAAAAGTGGAACTTCCATGGTGCTAGTCTTGCAGACATATTTGATTTCTCACACAAATGCAAAGGTAAAACAGAAAACAGTAATAAAACCATCAATATGCAAGTTTGCTTTATGTTGTAACTAATACGTAATAGCTATGATGATCCAATGTTCTCATATGGTTACACTGGCACTACTCATAGTTTAATGATTTCATTTATTCAAGCTTGATACTCAAATTGGATATTACTCACACTCTTTTTTCTATCCGTGATGAATTGTATTAGAAGTCTTTAGACTTGTTTGGATAAACTTTTCAAAAACACTTCTAGGAGGAAAAAATAAAATAAGTGTCTCTATAAGTTAAAACTTATTTTTTAATGATTTGGAAAAGTTATATGAGAAAGCTCCTACAAATAAACTTATGGAAAAACATATTTCATTTTTCTTCCTAAATGTGCTTCTGGCAAGTTTATTCAATCATAGCCTTTGTGTAGTTAAGAATCATTTACTTACCAAGAAGGTGATCTTCTAAAGAACCATTCGCCATGAACTCATATACCAAAATCCTTTGATCACCATCTGCACAATACCCTACCAAATTGACAAGGTTAGGGTGATGCAAGAGACTCAAAATCAAAACCTCTACAAGGAATTCCCTGTTTCCTTGGAATCCATTCCTGTTAAGTTGCTTCACAGCAACAACCTGATGAAAGTAACACAGCATTTAGAAGGTTACTATTACTATCAACTCCAATGGACTTCTTCCTTAGAATAAAATTCAAATAGATGCGAGTTAAAATAATACCCTATTTAAGCTTTTAAGGCGTCCTTTGTATACCCTCCCAAAGCCTCCTTCACCAATCATATTATCGGGGTGAAAGTTGCGAGTTGCAACACATAGCTCGTTATAAGAAAAAATCTGAGAGGTAATATTCCCTTTTCCAATTTTTGCTATTTCTTCTTGTATGTACCTCCTCTTGCTAATATCTACAGGATAAATTCGTTCAAGTTTTAAGCTGAAATCCACTATATAGGGCACTATAAGACCACTTTGCACCTTTAGCTTAGCAATCTATTGTCCAAACTCTAATGATTGACAATTGAGACACAACTATTGAGATAGAGTAAGAGATCCTTAGGTTAATGACACTATATTTGGACAATGATAAGATGAAGAAATAAAAGTTTAAAGACCAAAGATGAAGCTCATTAAGGTTGGTTTAGTTGGTAAGGATAGGATTCATATCTCGTAAGGACATGAAATATTCGAATCTACTGCTAATATGAAGACCCCATTGATGGATAATCTGTGTACTTGGTGACAGAAATTGCTTCGAAAGATGTTATCAAGAAGCTAAGTATTAAACTAAGAAGGGAACCAAAAGAGATGCACAAGTTGTGGCTTCATAATAATTGTTGTAACACTAACAAAGTTGATGAAGCCTATTGTGATATTACAAACCTTTCATAGATTTCCATCTTAGGATTTCATGTTGAGAGAAACAAGATTGTACTTGAGGAAAACAATTGGTAGGGGAAACAACATTAAGCTCTAGATATGAGACATTAAATCGAAAAACTTTGGACTAAAATCTATACAATGAGAAAATTAGCATTGGAAAAATACCAGATTTAAAACACATGTTAGCAAATGATGGCAGGGCTTTAACATGATTGAAAGCCCTACTGCTCCTTTCCAATGGGTTCTTGTTGATCTTCTCTTGTGACGTGCAACATGAAAAGAAACTCATCTTCCACAGACCCTAATTAAATATTTGACCTGACCAAACCCACATTTACAGAATTGCAAGGTTCATGCATATGATATGCTTTTCAAATCTATCTCCTTCAGCATGCATATATATGTATGTAGCCAATGATCCAATGCATGCAGCACTAAAATCAATTCAGGATGTTTTTGATTCCTCGTAGAAACCAAATTGATCCTGATCGAGTTCTGGCTTCTCAAAACCTTTCCCACATGAAATGGTTACTTTGGCTTCATTGTTATTGAAAGGCCATAGTTAGGAAAACAAATGCCGACTTCGTCAAATATGGTAATCAAAAAATGACCGATAGGGAGTCATTCATCTTTAATATCATTATCTAAAGTTCCTCAATATAGGACTTTCGTAAAGTGTTTTCTCTTAGGTTGCACTTTATTATGCCAACCAAAATGGAGGATCACTCCTTTATGAACCTCGTCAAGGAATAAATTATGACAACTATTTTATATGGACGCCTTATATCTACTTTATATCCTTTTCATCTACCTCAGTTATATTCTTTTTAATTAAGCGTCTACCTAATTTTGTGTATGGTCTATATAATGATGCTTAAAACCTTTTGAATGACAATAAACTCGCTTAAATGATATAATGAGACAATTTTTTTTAAAAAAAATTGGCTTTTACTTAAATGTTCATTAATATACCAAACTCTTTAATGGTGCTTAGGTGGAGTATCATATGTAGTGTGTGTTTGTGTAATCGATGGCGTGCATTCCAAAGCAATAAAACAGAAAAGTATGAATCTTGATGGATTAAAATGAACTCACGTTTACCTGCATTAAATGGAAAAACAAACACACGGATAGTATATACCATCACATTTTTTATTATAATTTTCCATCATTTACATATTTCTACGTATACATACCTAATTTATACAAAATATAAGAAATATTTTTTCTTAAATTAAATACACATTTATTTATTGTTATTAAAAAAAAAAAACATGACTAGAAGGTTGAAAAAAGAAGGCGCGGGGAGGAAAACCCTCGTATTAGCGTGTTATCATATTAATCCTCTAAAGATTATGATCACCAAATTGATTTTTTAAAAATGTAAAATGACACTACTTTCTTCTTTTTGAAGAACTAAAGTGATTATATAAGAATATATAACTTTAGTTATTATTTATTAAATTTGAATAAATGATTTAATTATAAAAAATTTTGCAAAATAATATAGCGATAATCTAATTTTTTAAAGAGAAGATTAAGGGTTTTTTTTAAAAACAGAAAAGACTTCTATGTACCTGTTACAAAGACAAGGAACATTAATAATAAAAAAGATTACTGGGAAAATTAAAAGTTCAATCATACTTGATGTTATAAAATATATCCAAAGTATAAATTATTTTTTTATTTATCAAAATTGTAATGACCATATCATAATTTGAATTTAAGGTATTATCACAAATAACGTTTTTTTTTTAATTCTTTTTACTTTTGTAGTGGTCAAACGTTGAAGGAACGTAATAAAAACGGTACTTTTGAAATCTAATACTTATCCAACTCCAACCATAACATTTAGAAGTGTGGAAAAAAATCCTGCTGCTAGCTCATTTTGTGCTACTCTTTTCCAACAGAGTTGTAATTATTTATTCAAATCTTTGATTTGAATTGATGAAACCAAAAGCAATAAAAATTAGCTAGCTAACTATATCCAATTTAAGACGAACTAAACTAAAGGATCTAAAACAGACAAGAATCCAAATATAGGTTCAGCAGTTTGTTC